TGTTGGATGGATGATAGGAAGATGGACAGATGGATAGGATGGATGAATATATGACTGGATGGATGGATGAATAGATAGGTGGATGATGTGTGGGTGATGGGTGAATGATGGGTAGATGGATGGATGGATATATGCCTGGGTGGATGGATGGATAGATGAGTGGATAAATGGATGGATAGATGGGTGTGTGGAGGGATAGATGGGTGGGTGGGTGGATAGATGGGTAGGTGGGTGTATGGATAGATGGGTGGATGGGTGGATGGATGGATGGATGTTTATATGGCTGGGTGAATGGATGGATAGATGGGTGGCTGGATGGATAGATGGGTGGATGGGTGGATGAATAGATGGGTGGATGAGTGGATGGATAGATGGGTGGGTGGATAGGTGGATGGGTGGATGGATAGATGGGTGGGTGGATAGGTGGATGAATGGATAGATAGATGGGTGGGTGGATAGATGGGTGACTAGATGGATGGATGGATGGATGAGTCGATGAGTGAATGAATGGGTGATAGAAAGATGAATTTGAATGAGTAGATGAATGAATGGGTGATCAGGTGAGTGAATGGGCAGGTAGATGGGTGGGCAGGTAGATGAATAGATGGGTGAGTAGGTGAGTGGATGGGTGGGTGGATGGGCATATGGGTGTGGGGATACAAATTCCATTTTAGAGATTCAAGGGCTAAGCTGCTAAGGAACCTGTTCCGGAGCTTGGGTTCCTGGTGTGTGTGTGTGTGTGTGTGTGTGTGTGTGTGTGTGTGTGACTGAGGCAGAGAGGTACAAGAGCTGCTACCATCCCAGGGCAAGTACTTGAGTCCCCATGATCCCCATTAAGCCTTACACCCCATTCTCTCTCTGGCAAGGACAGTGCACATCCGCCATCTGAGTGGTCTCCGGTCCTGCAGGCTGCTGACAGCTGGGCCAGCCCTCAGCAAGAGGACCCAGCTGCTGAGTGTTGGCTGGCACTAATGAGCCCAGTCTGATGGCCACTAATTGAGGTTTTGGATACCAGTGACAAAATTAGAGATGAAGGGACAGACAGGCCTGGCCCAGGACTTGGGGGCCCCAGCACTCCAAGCCAGGCCAGTGTCCAGCTGACCCAGAGATACCCATTCCCAAGTCTGAACGCCTGGCAACTTCTCTAGGGGCCTGCGTCCCTGTCTGCCTCAGGAGAGAGCTTCTTCTGGGCTCCGCACTGGTGTAGAGGCTGGCTGGCAAGGATGGTCCTCCAGAAGGGCCAGGAGTGTGCCCTTCCTGCTGGAGAGGACGGAGTGACCGCTGTTCACCTGTGAACTTGTTGAAATGATTTATGAGGCTTGGGGGCTGGGCCAGGCAGAGGAGAGGACCCTGGCTTGACAGCAAGCACACCTCCTGTGACTTCTCCCTGGGACCACGCGTCTGCCCAGCTTCAGGTGTTTCTGTGGACTGAGCTGCGCACCCTTGAAGTGACAGGGAGGGTCTTAGCTTCACTGAGATGCGCGTGGCCCTCTGGGCTGTCGGAGAGCCAGGAGTTCCTGAGATGGAGCTCCCGGTCTCACAGGGAGGACTTGGCAGAGGGCTGAGGGGGCTCCCAGCACCTGAGGACCGTGGTGGGCTTTCCTCCCAGGAAAGGGAGCTGGAAACTGGCACACGTCGCCCAGGCGTGGCTTATAGACCCACTCGATTTTCCCGATGTCCGTGTAACATCTACCCCAGGGAACGTCCTGCTTCTTTAGCCTCTGATGGGCCGTGGACAGTCTGAAGGCCCAATCAGACACTTGGCATCAGGACAGGCTCTGGGCTCGGCCTTGCTCTGCAGGCTCTGGGCTCCACGGCAAACCCAGAAATGCCACTCAGGAGCCAGCCTCATCCCGTTGTCCCAGGCTCCTGCTTGGTGCCTTAGGAAGGTCACAACTGGTGGCTCACTGCTTCCCCAAGTAGAGGAAAGAAGTGGCGGCTGCCCCTGGGCCCCCTCTGCCAGCACTCGATGTCCCAGTGGCCACCCCCAGGTTGTCAGGACAGAGGTGGGTAGAGCAGGGCAAAGGCCAGCACCTCTCCTGGCTCAACGAGAAGACCCAGGGAGAAAGGAGCAGAGCACTCAGGCAGGTTCGCTCAGGCCACAGGCCACTGTCCTGACGGTGGCCTTGTTTTTCCCAAGTCCATTCCAGGGAGGGGCTTGTCTTCCTGAAAGCAGGGTCAGCAGGGGTCAGGAAGGAGCCAAGAGCAGCCGGCAACAGGCGGAGATGCCCCAGACCTAACAGGGCTGGGCCGAGAGCCAGGCTTAGGGCAGTCTTAGGAGACCTGCACCTGGGTAAGGTGCTACTGGCCCCTGGGACACTGTTAGGGTGTTGTCACAGCAACAGGTACCTCACGGGGGAAAAGGCGGTCCAGGCTTTGGGGTACCTCATGGGGAAAAAGGTGGTCCAGGCTTTGGGGTACCTCATGGGGAAAAAGGTGGTCCAGGCTTTGGGGTACCTCATGGGGGAAAAGGCGGTCCAGGCTTTGAAACCTAAGCTCTCTCTCTGTCACTGCCACAGATGCCCAAAGCTCCAGCAGGCCCAGGGCCACAGGGCCACGCCATGTGCCCTGACCCAAGTGCCCTCTGCACCCGGCACTGAGCTATCTCTGCCCACTGTGGACCACGTTAGGGTTGAAGCTAGAGACCTCAGGGGCATCTCTCCTGACTCAGCCTGGAGCATTGGGCAGCCAGGGGAGAAGTCTGGCGATGCCTGAGAGTGGTGCCCATGTACCCCTGGTGACGGGAGCCGACTGGAACCCCACCACCCAGCAGAACGCTCCACTCCTCTCCCCACGGCAGCCTGCTGGGGACACACACTCCCCAAAATGCTGGACGCCCATCAGGGTAGTGGATGCTGCACATGGGCTGAGCAGAGCCAGGGTTGCCACGGCCACGGGGCTTGCCAAGGCCACGGCCCCTCTGCCAGGCACAGAGCAGAGAGGCCCAAGCTGGGCAGGGAATGCTGTCCTGAACAGGCCCATAGCCCCCAGGTCAGCGTGGTGTCCATCCAGAGCCACGTCCAAACACAGTAGGGCGTGCTAACTGGGGTGGCCCCTGCCCTCAGCAAAACTCTTGTCTGACGGTTCCAGGGGCTGGCAGGTGGACCACACTGGCCAGTTACCCACCTGTCAGGACTCCAGGCCTTTTATGGACATTGGGGATGGGCCTACTCTGGCCACCCATCTTCCAGGACTATCATTCTCTGCCTCTGGTCTCCGTCGTAGCATTGCAGGTGGGGACACCCCAGGGTACTCCTGCAGGGCTGCTCTTGTGACCAGGGCTGAGCCAGAGGCTAGACAGATGTTTGGGAGCAACTTGGCCTCATAGCCCAGTTGTTTGAGAAAAATCTCCAATAATGACCAAGTATTATGAATTTTCCAGGGCTTAGTGGTGCCCACAAAGCCACATGTCAAAGCCACACATCTTTAGCATACGTCCATATGGCCAGTCCCTAGCATATGTCCACAGCACCTCTACACAACACGTGACACTAGGCGTCTACACCACATGTCTACACCACGCCTCTGGCGTTTGCCTTCTTAATGTCTGCTAGTGGTGCAGTGGGGTCAGCAGATCCCAGAGAGACCTGCAGCTCTGGGAGCCCAGGGGCTGGAGGGACATGGAGGAACTCTCCAGTGGGGAAGGAGCTGGCCTAGAGGGGCACTGTGGACACACTAGGAGGGGAAATGCCAGAGTAGCCTGTTTTCCCCAAGGCCACTCCACCCAGGGAGCTAGGATGGCTGTGCCCTGGTCCTTTTCTCCCACTTCCTTCCCAGGGAACACCATGCCAGAGCCCAGGGCCCAGTGCCCAGGGTGTGCTGTGGGCCCTCCAAGAGGCCAGAGTCAGTGCCCTCAGCCTGGCCCCAGAGCCACCTTCCTGCCTTGCTCTCAGGCCTCATCCCCGAGTGCCTGGCCTTCCCTGGACATTTCCCTCAGTGGGCTTGGCCTGAGTGAGCAAAGGACCCTTGACACACAGCTGCCCCAGGGCCCCAGGTCTTCTAGGTCCATGGGGCTCCCAGTGCTGTGTGCCACTGGACATTGCTCTCTGCTGGCACCTTGGATTTGGCAGAGAGGAACACAGGGCCCTGACCTTAGTCAGAGCAGCGACATGTGTACGTGGTCAGGTTCAGTAGGCTGGGAGGATTTGCTTGGTGTCTGTCCTGGGGGACAGAGAGCAAGAGCCAAAGGGAGGGAGGGAGGGGACTTCCCTGAAGGAGTCTGCATTTAAAAAGGATGTTCTGGGGCACAGTGGCCACACGCACAATCCCAGCCCCTCAGGAGGCTGAGGCAGGAGAATCACAAGTTTGAGACCAGTGTGGACAACTAGCAAGACAGTCTCAGAAAATAAAATAAAAAGATCCTGGGAGGCAGCTCAGTGGAAGAATGCCCCTGGGTTCAGTCCCCAGTAACAAAGATAAAGGAAAGAAAAACAGGGAGGGAGGGGTGGAGGGAGGGAGGGAGGGAGGGAAGGCAGGAGGAGAGGAGCTGCCAGGCTGCACACTGCTCAGGGTGGGAGGAGGGAGCTCCCACACTGGGTCCTTCGCTGGCTTGGAGGTGAGGCCTCAGCTGTGGGTCAGTGGGCTTATGGACCCGGCCCACGCCCCCCCCCCCCCGCCCTCCTCCCTTGGTGTCTCCCCTGCAGCAGGCCGGGGCCCAGAGCCCCGCCCCCGGGCTCTGACGCTGCGTGGACAATGGTTGCCTTGGCTGGATTGTTACCTACGCACAGGTTCCTGGAAAGGCCCTGGCAGGCGGGGCCACTTGGTGGGAAAGTAGGCGCAGTGGAGGATGGAGGTCCCCCAGGCTCTGTGGGTGACCTGCTAGCCCGGCTGGGAGGTGCCCCCAGGAAGAGTGGGATCCCGCGAACTTTCTTCTGGAAAGCCTGCTGTGACTCAAAGAGGCCCCCAGGGTTCTGTCTTTATTTTGGTGACACCCAGAGGAGAATGCTGCAGACATGTTTAACCCACACCTATTAGAGTCTCCAGCTGTTATTTTCGACAATGGATCTGGGCTCTGCAAAGCAGGGCTGTCGGGGGAGATCGGGCCCCGCCACGTCATCAGCTCCATCGTGGGGCACCCCAAATTCAAGACGCCCAATCCGGGAGCCAATCAGAAGAAGTACTTTGTAGGGGAGGAAGCCCTGTGCAAGCACGAGACCCTGAACCTGCGCTCTCCCATCGAGCGGGGCCTGGTCACGGGCTGGGACGACATGGAGAAGCTCTGGAGGCACCTCTTCGAGTGGGAGCTGGGTGTGAAGCCCAGTGACCAGCCCGTGCTCTTGACGGAGCCCTCCCTGAACCCCAGGGAGAATCGGGAGAAGATGGCCGAGGTGATGTTCGAGAGCTTCAGCGTGCCCGCCTTCTACCTGTCCGACCAGGCTGTGTTGGCGCTCTACGCCTCGGCCTGCGTCACGGGCCTCGTGGTGGACAGCGGGGATGGGGTCACCTGCACCGTGCCCATCTTTGAGGGCTACTCCCTGCCCCACGCGGTCACCAAGCTCTACGTAGCCGGCAGGGACGTCACGGAGCTCCTCACCCGGCTCCTCCTGGCCAGCGGGCGCACCTTCCCGTGCCTGCTCGACAAGGCCCTGGTGGGCGACATCAAGGAGAAGCTGTGCTACGTGGCCCTGGACCCTGAGAAGGAGCTCTGCCGGCGGCCCGAGGAGGTCCTGAGAGAGTACAAGCTGCCCGACGGCAATGTCATCTACATCGGGGACCAGCTGTACCAGGCACCTGAGGCCTTGTTCTCCCCCGAGCAACTGGGCACCCAAAACCCGGGGCTGGCGAAGATGGCATCCAGCAGCATCGCCAAGTGTGACGGGGACATCCAGAAGACGCTCTTTGGGGAGATCGTGCTGTCGGGGGGCACCACGCTCTTCCGGGGGCTGGACGACCGGCTTCTGCGGGAGCTGGAACACCTGGCCCCCCAAGGCACCCCCATCAAGATCACGGCTCCCCCCGACCGCTGGTTCTCCACCTGGATCGGCGCCTCCATCGTCACTTCCCTGAGCAGCTTCAAGCAGATGTGGGTCACCTCCGCCGACTTCAAGGAGTTTGGGACACCCGTGGTCCAGAGAAGATGCTTCTGAAGGAAGGGCCTTGCGCCCGGGGCGGCCGGTGGCACTGGCTGGGCCCTCCTGGCAGGAGCTGACCTGCCGCTGGAGCAGGGTGTCCAATAAACGACAGAAGGTGGAGTGTTCGCCTGTGTGAGTGTCTCGCTCCTTCTCAGCAGCGACAGAGTCCCTTCCGACCTGGGCAGCGGGGCTGTCAAGGGGGTCTGTCCACATCCCCTCCCTGCCGCCCGAGAAAGCCCGGGGCTGGGGGTCGAGGCTAGACACACCTGCAGGTGGCCCTGAATTTCGGGCCACAGCCTGATTCGGTGGTTTTGAACCAGGGTCTGGGGGTCGGGGGTCTGGGAGATGGGGCAGGGGGCAAGGGACAGGCAGGACGCTGCCCTACCTGAGCCCTCCCCTGGGTGGGCCCTGTGTTATTGATGGCCTGTGGGGAGAGAGCCCTAAACTTACGGCATTTCTGCTCCCCGCTGTGCCATCTGCCAAGGACCAGGCTGTGTCCCTTTTAGCTGTCTGGCCTCGTAAACGCAGAGCAAGGGCCCAGGGCGCTGTCACCCGCTCTGCGTGGTGAATTGTACCTTTTCAGTTTGTTTTTACTCTGAGGGATATTTGTAGCATCCTGGTTTGGGGGCAAAGCTGACGGCAACAGTTGAATGACTTAGGCACCAGGGGAAAATTTCCACGTGGACTTGGTGAAATTCTCCCAAGATGTTATTGAGAAGAGAAATGGAGAACTCAGAGGCGTTCTTAAAACCCACTTTGTCTACAAGGGGAGTTTGTCCGCGTGGAACGTCCAGGTTTGTACATCATCTCCCTGTCAACCTATGTGGTATTTGAGCGGAGCCTTTGGTGGATTGGAAGGCAGAACGAAGTTGGGTGATTTCTTTGGGATCCAGTCTTGATCTCTGCCTTTTACCTGGTGTATTTAGACAACCTACAGTTAACTGAAATGTCCCAGATGTCCCCTTCCCTGTTAGGGCTTGGCTTGTCCCCTGTCTCATTCCTGCTTCTCTCACTTTGCTGGGGGTTGGGAACATTTCTCATTAGTCCATGCTGATCCACTGCTGGGGTTTTTACTGTTTTTCTTGGCGTAGGTTTTGGGGGGAGTGCCCTAGGTGTCTTAGTATGCATACCTGTATGTGTGTGAATATATGGGCTCACCGCCTGCAGGTAGTGACGTTTTATCACTTGGAGTTATGTGTGAACTCCCACCTCTGCTTAGGATGCTTTAGCCTCCCCGCTTTTAAAATACCGTCATCTCGTCTTCTGTGTACACTGAGCACAGCCTCAGAGGTGTTAGAATTTTTTTTCAATCACTAAATGCGATTAAAGAAGCTCATGAGAGGAGTCTACAGTGTTTCCCTCTATCTAACCCACCTGGTGCTCTCCTTTCCTCTCTGAAGTCCCAAGCCACCTTCTGCGGTTATTTCCTCCGTGTTCAGAGAACTTCCTTGGCTTGCAGCAAATCCCCGAGTTCTCCTTGTCTCCGCCCTGGGAGGGCACCTTGGCCAAGACTGACTTTGCAATTCATACTTTCCTTTAGCGCTTGAAAAACCGCAGTGCCAGAGGCACTGTCCTGCTGGCCTGAGTGATTCCAGATAAAAAAACCCTCTGTCACTCAATGGGTGTCCCCTGTAGGGAATATGTCATTTTTCTCTCTGCTTTCTAGTTTTTCACATCTTTCGATTTCAGAGGTTTAAATATGATGGGGGTTTCTTTGAGGTTATTCTACTACCATCTTCTACCTCACCAGGGCTGGGTGGGGCTGGAGGCTCAGCTCCCACTGGGACCCACTGACACAGGTGCGGCTGAAGGACAGCTGACCAGCAGCCCTGGCCCCGCCACCCTGTTCAGTCTCTCCCTGTGGGTGGGGTGGGTTATGGTGGATGTTTGTTCCACTTTCCGTGGAGCGACACGGCTTTCCCTTGGCCCTCAGGTTGAGCAGGGAGGGTGGGCAGAAAGGGGGTCTTTATTCTTAGCCCACACTTGGTGGGAATGGCTTTTCTTGGCACTTTGCTGGTCTGCAGCTGTGGGAGATCTTGGGAGAGAGGCTTCTGAGCACTGTATAAAAACTGCAAGGAAACCCAGGGACTCCCAGGGCTCCAGGTCCCCAGGCAGCTCCCGCCGTCCTGCACCTTTCAGTCTTCCTCTGTTGCGTTACATCCAGAGCTTTCTGGAGGTAAGAGGGAGAACTTGTTTCTCTCTGCAGTTCCTGAAGGTTGCAAGGGCTCAGAGAGGCCTGTCCAACCCTCCTATCAGGACCACCCAGTTTTATGGTAGCTGGGGTTTCCCAAGGCTCACGGTTGAGTTCAGAGTTCCAGATCAGGGCTCCGTCCCCCTCCTACACTCCTTTATCCTTCTCTGCCTGAGACTGTGCCCATATTACTGAGTTACACTGCAAATACATGGTGCCTAAAACAACTCTTTTTTTTTTTTTCAAGCTACTCTGCTCCTCTTATGCTGGCCACTGCTCTTGCTTCAGTTGCTATGGTGATGGTGGTGGTGGTGATGGTGGTGGTGGTGATGGTGGTGGTGGTGGTGGTG